ATGTTTAGAGGAAAGTAAATTAAACACAATTCAATGAGCGGCTTAAAGGGTTTAACACTCGAAAAGCCACGGTGAAGGTAAAAAAAAACTCGGGTTTTCTTTTAAATTTCGGACACAAATCTCTAGCGGCGATCGGGCGTTAACAACGATCGAAATTGCACCTTACTCCTTTAGGGTAGACTCGAAAATTGACGCGCGAATACCAGATACTTAATACTTAACTTGTTTTTTCAACGGCTCAGGTGGCGAAAGTCTTAAATAAATAATCGAAAGGTATTAACGAGGGTCCCCCTGTTCTTCTCAATAATTATCGTCTCCCGGGGCCAAACCGCTTTGGGTTTTAATTCGGCGACGTTCTGAAAGCGGGCTCTCGCGTCTTACGCTTACAGGGTAGATAGAGACGGGGCATATCGAGTTCGGAAACGTGACAGGCGAAGATTTGTAACCGTATATACAAATGTTAAACCGCTAAATTTGCACATGGAAAATCCAAAAAATGTATACATATAGTGATAAGCTTGAACTAAGACATCCGATTTTAGTAGTATTAAGATTGGTGGTTCAATGGTGGAAAATTGCCTCCCGCGGAATCGAACCCCATTATCCACGGAGGCCGACCAGTAATGTGCCCGCTGGGGTGCACCGCCTTCTGTTTCCGATTTACTCCGATCGCGAAGATTGTATACGGCTGCCACAAGTAATCTGATTCTTTTTATGTTCGAAGAGTTCTATGCATTTTTTTAATGTGAAAAGTTGCCAAACGAGCAGAAGGTTCACCCGAAGGTAAGTGAATACCGCCGCCCATGGATATCTGCTACACCCGACGGTTACAGATGCGTTGACAAACTTTTTGAAATTGGGCTCCGGCTACCTCACTCACCAGACGAAACGCCAAAGTATTTGTCATACTTCCACTTTACACTGGTCTTCTGTGAGGCCGTGGTACTTACCCGGACCGGCTTGCCCATTCGTGCATCAGCCGAGGCTGCTGCGTGGCCTACCACCGTAAAAGCATCTCCGGTATATTGGGTGCGTTTCAACCTTTGGAACATTTTATTTCATTTTACGGAGCAACTTAGCCAACTGACTTATCGCGGCTGGTCACAAGAGGGCTGGTTCTCTTCTCGCTCAAAGGGCTTAATTATTCAGCAAGGAAATGCAGCTAGCGTTCTTGGCACCATTCCGCGTGGACTAGGTTTATTAGATGATTTGTAATTTAGTTAGTTTTAATGTTGTAAATATGGGTGTTTCATTAAAGTGTATGATTGTGATTGAAGATGACAATTGTAGGCGAGTCCAGTCGTGGGATCCACAGTTTAACAGATGACCAACACATGTTTAGAGTGAATATTGAGTGAGGTTCAGGTGATGAGATTTTGAAACGCATCTACATCCTTACGGGCATTACGCGCTATCTGTTGCCTGTGGACTAACTGTTCTCATAAAGACACATAACACAATAAAGACACATAACACATCTCATAAAGACACATAACACAATAAAGACACATAACACAATTCACTCATAATGAGACAAACGCCTAACTTCGTAAGGCTCAATAATAACACAAGCATTAACAATGTTAATTTGTGTTTGTTGGTTTGTCCCAAAATTCCAGATTTCAAGATATCTAAATAGGTCTGAATGATGGAGAAAATTGAAATCCACGCGACCGAAGCCGCAGACAAGAGCTACTTCCTAATAAGTACTTCCTTCGTACAACTTTTATGCATTTTGTCAACGGTGAGTTATTACAAACACTTAAGTGCGCTCCATCAGAACGTCCCCGAGCTTAGGAAGTGGGTGCCCAAATTATAAGGGCGCTTGATTATCCCTTAACCCGAAGCAATAACAGTTAAAGTCGAACGACCCCACTACCTGATTAGTCTGGTTACGGAGTTAAGTGTAAACCATTGTTGTGTTGTAAGACATCAATCAATAAAACTTAAACGGGGATCCCTTAATGCCGGTGATATGTGGACAGCGGGTAGCGGAGAGGGTAGAGGAGCGGGTAGCGGTAACGACACAGATAAATATGCACTCTTAATTCATTTCAATACTAGCTTCGACAATCGTCAGTATCGTGACGTTATAATTTCAATTTTAAACGTACAGCGAACGAGTTTTATCGCTCAATACGATTAGAAACTGTCGGTGCGTATCAAGCGTTTGTTTTTGGTCGATTTCGTTGCGTAACGTTATAGTTTGTAATGTTTGCGCAATAGTTTAGTTTTGGACGTTCTAATATTTTAATATTTGCTAGGTGTTCACTAGGTACACCGGAGAGGAGAAAAGAAGAGGAAAAAAGGGGGGATGCAAGACTACCATCAGAATGCAGCTTCGTTCTGAACCCAGCATCGCCTATATCGAACACAAAACCCGAAAATGCTGTGATAATTGGGTTCGATGCTCGACGTCCTTCAGCATCAGGGGATGGTACATCTCGAGGTTTCGTCCCATCACCCCACCAACCCCACCAGCGGCGCACCCACGTCCGCGCTCGGCTAATTCCGTCTGTCATAAATCCTAGCATTAATTTAACGACAAAGCATTAGATATCTAGTCACTATCCTCCGGGAACTATTCCGATAGATTGGTAAGCGGCGTCCTTAATTACGCGCGCGAGTCGAACGAAAACCGATTCGAAATTAATACGAACCGTTGGGGGACAAGGTCCAAAATCGATTAGCGGTTCGGCCCACTTAAGACATTTGCCTCATCAAGTGAAAACTTAACACGACTTCGATCGAATGTCAATCTTATCTATTGATAGATTGGGTCGAGTTTTGAAGGGGCTACAACGGGGGGACATTAGGTAAATTGCTTAATGTCTTCTAAACGGATGGTGTACGGAGATGTTTTGTTTTGGGGCTCATCTGCGAGTACCCATTGTTGATGTTTGTAGCGAGGAATGTAAATTATATTTAAATAGGTATCAATTAATTAGTAGGCAGTTCGATAAATGGAAGGCATTGAGATGTGAGCAGATACGATATCCAACAGACGAAATAACAGGTTCGTAGAGTAATATAAATGTTTGGGATCTGTTATTACGTTTCTACTGATACTATTTTATGGGCTCAATGATAGTCTGTCTTATTTATACAGGTTTTCCTTAAGCCTACTATTGGAAAAAACATTATGTTATAAATATACTGTTTCTTTTTAAAAGTATGCTTAACAGTTATCTACTAAGTATAGTAAAAGCTTTACTTAGTTCGCCACTAGATAAAGTTGTGTAAAAATATGTCATGAAATGTTTATTATTTATAAACATTTGAGTAACTTCTTGCATTTTCGATTGACGAAGAAGAAATTAAGTATGAAAAAAAAAATACAATTATTAGTCGATTACGCAACGTAGAGGCTACTAGAACGTTCGTGAAGAAGTTAGTCATATATGATCGTTAATATTTCACTAAACTGTACACTACCTAACGTGGTGGAGAACCTGTCTTCAAATGGATTTCAAACAGATTCGATAAACTCATAACTGGCACTGGGATTTGAATCCACACCGTTCAAATTAGTATCTAGACTCGTTCATACGTCCCATTTCTATTCGCTCCCAGATCAGAATAAGCAGGAAGTTTAATTAATGAAAAGTATGTGATAGGAAGCATTAGAAATATTGCATAGTATTTATTACTCACGGTTATGATCTGAAGAGGCTAAAATCCTCACAATTCAATCCGATAGACAGAACTGATTCGTATATAATATACACTTTGTGTATTTGGAACGAGTGTGTGGCGGATGCCGCGACATATCTGCGAATGCGCCTATGTTAGATATGTACGAAATTGACGAAAAATTTACTAAAAACAATTGTACAATCGCATTTATCTCTTGTTTATAATTATTAATAACCGACTAATACCTATCGACCTATCGAAGTATCGATCGTTTGCCGCAGAATGGTTCTCAAACTTTGGTACCCATCCTTACTTTTGAGAAGCGACTTACGAGGAACATTCCACACTACATTTCAGTGTTAAGCCATTACAAGCCGATATCACATCGGGTGAGAAATATTACAAAAAGTAAATGCTGTGGGTAGATAAAAAAAATACGTATCCCACTGCTGGTCTATTTCGAATTAAAGCTAAATATTTGACACTAGCTATCTTATAGGTCTCCGGATCTGAACTAAGAGCTGTCGGAGTCTTAACAATGCGCAGACACAAAGGGAATAGACTAAGACGATTAAATCGAACAATGTTTGTGTTGGTTGCCTATCATTGTACCACTTCCTTGTTGAAACTTTGACAATAGCAGCGTTCATTCAGATAATGGCCAGAGTTCGACGATTTTATAAAAGGAACAGTTAAAATTTGACCCGGTATCGATAAGCAGGGCCGTTGACTTTGTGTGTTTTTTTGTGCGAACACATTGGTTCGCTATCGGCCATCGGTTTGTGTACACGCGCCGGCGTTGCGTCATTGCCGATCCGAAAATACAGACACCTTCTCGCGCCCAACTCTAACGGAGTAGACAGGGATTGCTGCCATCTTTCTATTGAGGTAGGGCCATGCAACAGCTCTGGCCGTTGCACGAATGGGCAGGCTCGCCCTGGGACGCCACAGCCTGATAATGTAAAGCCAGCGTGAAGTGGAAGGATTTGCTCTTTTGCGATTCGTCTACTGAGCGATATCACGGGGGCCCACTTTTTTAATGTTAGCAAATTTATTGCATCCTTTCAGGTGTCCGTGGGCGGCGGTGAACTGCATGTCCGTTTGATGGTAAAATAAAAAAAATCTTTTTACCGTGATGTTTTAGTCCAAGAAGAGGGCGTAGCATTCGATTGTTGGCGGTCACCGCTGTATGGAAAACTATAACATCATTAGGGTTTCTGTACCTCATCTAGCGAACGAAAAGCGAATGTCTAAATGATTCCCATTTCAGCTAGAACTTCTGTAAGACCCGAAACTCCCCCGTGCATTAGCAGAGGTCGCTGCGTCTCGCACTGCGGTTATACTGGATAAAAACATAGATTCAGATGATATCGAATATAGAATCTAGATCCATGCTCACGAACGCAGAACAGAGAGTGGACCAAAAGGAATACGAGCGTAGTAATGACATTCAGCGAGGGGCGAAGACGTGGCCGAGGTATCGGCGATCATTACAATAACAAAGGGATGAATAAAGCGAATATTAAAATCCGTTTGTTTCCGTGTCAAAAAATTAATATTAACGATATCTTCAACAATGAAGTGGTGGCTGCTGGCCGAAAAAAAAGGGGGAATAATTTATGCGAGACATTTCTTTTGACGCCTTTGTTTCTGCGGGCTCTCGCAAATATTCAATTTAATTGAATCATTTCAGTGTGCTCGAGTGAGGTTTTCATTCAGAGTGGATCGTAGAGCGCAACATTCATTCTGTACCGCCGATATCGTACGTAGGAAACATTTTAATTTAACTTTCCCTTCACGGAAGTTTTAAAAACAATACGTCATTAAGTTTAGCAATTACGTTATAACGGAAGTTAAATTATTATAATAATTTGGTATGTCAACTGGATTGGAGAAAATCTTATTCTTTATAAGGCAAATTTTTGCCTAGCGCTACGAGTAGCTGAGGTGTTTATGAATGTATATCTAAAGCTAAGCTATCAACATTACAATATTCTTAATTCGGTGGTTTATTGTAAAATTAAATATAACTCCTTTTCATCCCTGCATTACCCTGCATTAATCGAATGCTCCGTCACAGTTATGAAGCTTTCAAAAAAGAATAATAAAAAAAAGCTTTGATAGTATCTAACGCGCGATTCGTCATCAAAATCTCCTATCAATAGATCGGGCCCGATTAATGCCAGCTGGACAGTCTAAATTTGCATTGTCCAACTCAATGGGTGGCGTACGAGAAATCGGTCGACACAATACCGCTACATTATGTGGACTATCTGTCACTGTGAACTCTATTACTAGACCCCGAGGGACGACAACGGAAACGCGATGAAATCGATGTGCCCAACTTCGTGGACGACTGTACGCAGTTCGATTGAATGGAGTTTTATTGGGAACCGGTTGGCAACCGGTTCGGACCCCACGACACGTGGTCAGGGCGTTTTTGTCATTCGACGTATTAAAATTATCGGTTGTTTTGTCCGACACCGTGGCCTTGCTCGCACGGGTCATTGATGATTTATCCTCCACGGCAGCTGATGGCCTAGAATATCATCGGTTACGACGGATTAATTCCATCTTTTGTCAGATAGTGTGTGTGCTATGCAAGTGACGGCTGTGGAAAATAATATGAAACTGTACATTCTCATGAAAAAACAGAATCTTTTTAGTGTAATTTAATTTCAACTTTTTTTCATTAAGCATCGGAAATACTCGTCATAAAATAGTCGTGATAGTTCATTGTCCGGGCGGTCGCTTTTAATTCAATATACTAGAACAACAGTTCCATTACCGGTGATGGCGCTATTAAAATTGTTAATTTTAAGTGCTGACTTATCACGTGCTCAGCGGTGTAGGAAAACATCGTGAGGAAACCTGCATATTTTCTAAATGATAAAAAAAGTCTTAAAGATCCGCCAATCCAATGGGGCCGCGTGGTGGACTATGCCCTAATATCCTCCGTACAGAGGAGGCCTTTCCCCAGCTGTGGGACATGTCTAGGCTGTTACTTTGATCGGAAATATTCACACTAAATTCTATTAAAAACTTGAACGCAGTACCGTATCTTTTAAGTGTACAAGGGAGAACTTAGTTTCCACTTTTTCAAAATTACGAACACAACCTATATATGTTCAAAACAATCATCAACTTCAAATTGTGATCATCAACAGAATTGTTACGATGATTAATATTACATGCCATAAATTAAACCAGAAACAAATTTGGAAAGGGACAAGAAAGCATCTTCAGCGTGAGTACTTGAAACTGGAGGAACATCAGCATTGAACTTGAAGGGAAACGGCATTGCCGAAGCGGAGCGTGCCTGATCCGTGTCATCGGGCCCGAGATCGCGTGCGGCCGTTTTGGCGCATTCATTTCGACCTGTCAATGCGCCAGTCGCTCCTCAATCAGCTTCGGGAGCCGTCCGGATCCAGCGTGATTGGCGCCTCGCTTGATCGACGCTCGCCTCCGATCGCTTCGTTTATTGGCGCGTGAAAGTTTTCGCAGCTGTCTCTGGCAGTTTGCACTGCGAACCCATTTCGTCAGAAGGTTATCATCAAGATATATCAAATAAGCAACAAGAAAGTGATTATCACAACACAGAATTACTCCCACATTACTGTAGCCTTCGACAGGACATTTTACTCCCGTAGTTGTTTTAGCCAATTCGCGTGTCAGTGCATTAACTAGAACAGCGTGCATTTTTTTTGGAAAACAGCGAATATTATACAACTGAATGTATTGGTGCCGTTAATTGTATCAAAGGATTCCATTATACGGCGTCCAAGAATTGTATCGCCCTCCCCCATTCAACGGAGGACACCCCATGAATCCTTAATGAGTAAATTAACAGGACCTATTGTCTAGCCGGCATGTTTTTTTTATATTAGAATATTAATAACCGTCCACCATTGTTCCGGCGATCGGGGGGCGCTAAGAAAAATGTCCCTTCAAGGAGCGCCACAAAGAGGGGGGCCCGAAGTTTCAATTGATTGATTTAAACATTAATTTCAATAAAAACAATGGTCGCGGTTGTTTTGGACACGTCCTAATTGCGTTGGGGGAGAGTATTTTTTCTGGCAGGTGACGAAAAAGTTCCGATAGAGCGATATGCAAAATTTGACGGGACAATAAAAGCCGGATTTCAGGAGGACCGGGGGATTGCGGCTGATGCGGACAGAGACGAATTACGTGGAAATTTTTAAGTAATGATTTCTTCTATTGAGGCTAATGGTTATTACTTGGAATAAGAATAATACTGCGAATTGTATGAAGTATATTTTAAGGGTGACAAAAGCTCGGGTCAACTATAAAATTAGAGTATATCAGTGCATCTCGAGAAAAAAAAAAACCTGATGTAATTTCTCAAACATCCGATATTGTAATGTGATTGACACGAGAGATATTCGTTATACATTACGAACAGATATCGAAAATGAAGAAAGAGACGAATCGCAGGTTCAACGCGATCTAAGAACAAAGTGTAATATTGAGTAGGACATTAAAACTGGCATACATAATGCGGGGGGTTTCGAGAAACTAATCAATTACTCGGAACCCGGAGTACGCCTCACAATACCGTCCTTAACGTACGCGGGGTAACAGATAGCTCTTTATACCGATAATATGTCACAAATCATCTTCCGCGCTACACAAAGTTCATAATGAATTGACATATTCCCAACACGTGTTACCCGCTACAAACTAACGCGCGGCGACATGTGGTTGCTCCCGCGCGATTTCTCTAAATTGGCCCTTACCCATATCAAAATCGAGTCCAATTTCGATCGGTCCACCGTCGAAGTCGTCATCGACAGTTCATCGGATATTGGCTCTTATTTGGCAGCGCATAGGACACTCGTCAAGGTCTTTCATATGTGTATATCTAATGGGTCGCGCCGCACGTTTTCTAATAAGAGATTGTAATAAGCGGGATCGTTGTTAGTTTAATCGATTCGAATGCATGCATGTCTATATTAATTGCGGTATTAGCGATTTACAATTAGAGCCGTAGCATGTTTCTTCATATATCACGGCAAAGGTTGACGTGGTCACGGCTCGATATGTCTTGGCGGTACCGCCTAGAATTTTGATTTTAGGGAGAAAGACTTTTTTACGCGTGTACAATTGTTTTTGTTTGGAATTATGCGAGATCATCGAAGTGGCTGTGTGGATACAACTAAAATCGATTTAGAGTCGAGCAACAATGAACCTGAAAACATTGGTACATTGGTATTTCATCATGTAAAAATAATGTCTTTTTTATCAAATTTTACACAGTTTATGGAGCATATTAAGTCTAAGTAAAGAGTAATAAGTAATAGAGTAATAAAGAGTAATAAAATAGTTTATTACTCGATGTGAAACATTTATCCATATCTCTTTTTCCTATTTAAAATTCTACACTACTGCGAGTTACCTATAAATCTCTTTATGGGCGATAACAAAACGTTTCCTTATTAACATTTGAATAAATGGTCTGTGTCTAATAGCTACGGATGTTTTATTTATACTTGTATGTAAATTGTTCTTGAAAAAACAGGACTAGCGTATGCACTTGATACAGTGCTCAATAGAGTTATGCTCATTACGTTATGGATAAGGTTGGACACCGTCTGCTAGAAATAAATAATCCCGAGTTACGAGAAACTTATCAGTCTGAATTTACAATATGCGAAGTAGGGTCCATGTTTTATGACCATAATGAATGTTTTATGTATGAACATAATCACCGTCAAGGAATATCTGAAACGGTCGATCAATATTAATTCACAATTAGAATAAATGAGCGCGGTATAAATATTGCTTTCTCGGACTCAATGAAGCGTTTGATAATGAGCTAATTGTTAGTTTTTCTCTGCGGAACAAAGTAAACGATAGAGTCATTGAATATCTTTAAAAGTATTTAACGTCATGTTTATTAAGTGAGTGCATTATTTATTGAGCGTCGAAGACAGTAATCGATGCGAAATGTATAACTATCGAGTAGTTTTTTCTCGCATTAGAAGGTGGGAAATACAAAAGAGTGCAAATGAGGAATTACCCATGTAAGTGCGCTTAAGATAAGATGTTCAGTTTCTTTAGATGTTACGTTTTTCGTAATTTACAAGAAACTTGGAAGAGCGGAGACGATTTCAGTAAATCTCTATCGGAACATGGATGTGGACGTTAATGTGGTTCATTTGTTGTGCGACAATTTAAATGACCCGGACGGATGCGATGTGTCACCGTTTCAGATTTTTCGGCTTGACTCAGTTATTTAAACGGCGACTGGCTAACAAGTGACAGGGGAATTGCTAATGATATCATTTCGATTCTCTGATGAGTCCAACGCTATCCAAACTGCTATCTATTTCGGTGTTATCATGCAATTAATACTGAAAACAGTGTTGACTGACGTAACGTGTACACAGAACAGGCTAATTTAGCTCTTGCAGTAACAACAATGAACAGTTTAATCGTGTGCAATTTCTTCGGCAGGTGTTATAAGTAATTTCACTGTGCCGACCATAACATACGCAGTGTGCTTAATAATAGCGGTGACGTCAGTTATAAAAACCGGGAATAACTATGAACGAGAAACAAAAGTTCGAAAATAAGCGAGCCTTTGAAGATAAATAATTTACTGCCCCACTAAAACCTGCATAAGAAAGAAATGTTGATAAACATCGAACATTAAATATGTAACTGTTGACGATCATAAAAGATGGAAGCCAGACGTAGTACATACACAAATATCACTTCGTAGGAAGTACGGCTTTTATTAGTTCGGCTCTGTAGCCGTACTCAATTCGGGGTGGAAATTAGTTGAGAAAATTCACGGACGATTTGAACGGTGGCAGCGGCACATTCGTTTGATCCGCTATCGCGACATCACAGCCGCTCTGGTCTTGAGGATCGCAATGATTTTTCCTCAACGCATCGATTGAATTGATATACGTGGGGGGACGTGGGCACCGGGCCCGATTCCATCTGGCCGCGGCCGGGCCCGCTAATAGATTCAACAGGTGTACCGCAGGGCGGTCCAATCGGGCCGCTACTTTTTTGTTTACGCTACACGAATTTATCGCGCGCGTTGACGTCTCGAGGCGCGCGTTTGATTCATACGGCCGCGCTGTCGCTTTTTAATACTGATTCACAATAAAAACGGCGCTGCCCCAGAGGCGATTGATGCGAGTTATGATTAATGTAGCCCCTTTGATGTCGGCCGCTGTGAATCTATCGGGCCCGCTGTGGAATATCGACGCGGCGCGTGTATAAATAAACTGGCCGGCGCAGCACCGGGTGCGTTTAGTTAATTATGAGGTTGTTAAAGAGGCTTAGCTGTCTCACAGTGAATGCACTGTTCGTTTGGAGTGGCTGAGTGATTGTTATCACAATCGAACCATCGAATGTTTAGCGTTGAGTGAATCATTAAGTTTTATGGATACTTAACAACTCAAATAATCTTAATTATATTAAGTTTCGATCCTTGTGCCTAATCGGTGTACCATATTTTGACTGCAATATGAGGTACACAGTAATTGCTTTAATGGTACCTGTTATTGGCACGGTGGACTCAAGCGATAGGTTTCGACCTAGCGCGTATGATTGTTGCAATTGGCCGTTAAACAAATGAAAAAAAAAGGTTGAAGGAAACTGTCTGTACAAACGCATAAAGTTCCATTATCGACAGAAGATCGTGGAGTCACGCTATGTCACGGCACCCGCCGAATTAAGGCGCTTTCTTCGGCCGCCAACGAAATTAGACTAATCAGCATCGAGTACAAAGAGTCGCGTCGCTTTCATCATCGACACGATGATGTTTACGCGGCATCTTCCGAGAAACGGAACGGGGCCCCGGCATTCAATACTTGGACAATAAATATGTGAGTTTGACATTTGCTTTCATGTCGGCTCGCGTGTTTCGGCCGTAATTACCCGCCGCGCCGCACCGGCCCGACGCCTTATTGCCCAAGCGGTAGGGCACAATATCGCCCGTAGGCGGCCACGGTGCGTTTTTTGTTATTAAATTATCGTGCGGGCCGATTTCAGTGGAGATGATAGGTTGCGTTTGATGGGGCATCTGATTGCTTCTCTTGTCGACGTTTCGAATTTGCTTTCTCTTTGATTGACTGCGATTAGGCGGAGTCGTCTTGTTTGACGTCGCTGCGTGGTCGAACGTAAACAACGGTAACGCATAAAAGGGAGAAACGCCTGTATCCGATCTCCTACGCAGCGCTTTACCGCTATGGAACTGATAATCAAAGTTGGATAATTGCTTTCATTCCAATCGCGATATCGATATATTCGATATTTCGGGACGTCGCATCCCACTTGCCACGTGTTTACCGTTAATCATCCGGCCCCCGAGATATCTCTCATCTTCGACTCGCTCGCTGTTCCACGGCGACTAACATAATAAGAGGAGCGCGTGCGCCGAACGAAAATAGCCGAATTAAAATAAATCGAACGACAGCCAGTCGTCATAAACTAATTTCGAGTGTTTTCCTTTTGGCCGCATATAAAAATAGCGACATCACTCTTTCATGTCCCGCGCCGCAGTGACATTAAGAATTTACAGTTGGGGATTTAGTGCAGCGCCATCTATGCAAGATGAAAGGTACTTTTATGGCCGAAAAGAAAGGTGTATTATGATTTATGGGCGGCTATTATTGCGCCTGATAATTAAATGGCCGCTCCTGTTACAATAACGACTGGACACGTTTGACTTGTGTTTGTTTTATTCCGAACTGATATACAAACGAGGCAAAGGATATATCATCAAACGCCCGACTCTGTGCCGCGCTCGTGCACAGTTTTATCAGAAAGTTTTCGTTTACAATTACTGTATGTAAATCGTAACTTAGTTTTGATAAACAAAAGAGGTGTGTTCACGGTCTAAATAAACATGCCATTAAAGGGTTCGGTGGCGTTGTTCTAAATCTGGTTAATGAGTTAATGTTATTAAAATAAAACTATCATATTATGCCTTTGTACATATTTTTTATCTAGAGCGTAAGCCGCTACTTCAAACGCATTCGTAGCCCCAATACGACATTGATCCGCCAAATTTACTTCCTCCCACTTCACTTTTGTCCTTTGACAGATTCCCTCAAAGAAAAAGTTTAACCGAGAGCGCAAATCAAAAACCGATTCGGGGTGGTCGTAATCAGGAAAGTTGTTACGGGACAAATCGCTTATCGGCTGTCATCAAAAAGAAATAACGTTTCAACCCTTCCGCGCGGACTTAATTAAAACGTAGCGAGATTCGCGCAAAGAATTTTCCGGGACGAAAGAAAAACTCGGGGGGCGAGTTCGGTTACAATAATAACGGACTAAATTTAGACGGAGTTGATTGAAGTTAGTCGCAATCTAGAGACAGTTGCCTTATAAATGAAAAATCAAAATTTAAAGAAAATTTGAACTGATTGAGTGCAGACAGGGAACTAGCAACTTGACAATGGGATTCGCGAGAGAAGCCAAGCCCGTTTGTTTATGAGTGGCTTCGGTGATAAATCCGATAAACGGCTACTCACCGAGGCCCCCGCGGAAAGTATATAATCTATTATACGCGGCGTGTATGAAGCAAGGGTAATTATTAGCGATCCAACACGGGAATCGCCGGGTAACGAATTATATGTCTTGGAATGCCTCCAAGGCATCCGAAGCGTGGCCGGTGCGCGACGATCGCTTTGATGGGTTGTCGTCGAAAATTAACGGAATCAGCGTCGGTGCGGGAAAGAGAATGCGCTCTTAAGATGTTTTCCTATCGCTATTATATTTTTACAGATCGTTCCATCAACTTCGCGACGCGTATCGCTGTCTTTGACTTTACTCATCCAGGATTCGTGTTTATTTTTATCGAAGACTGAAAATTCGATCTAGAAAACAGGTCTTGTGTTTAAATCAAAGAGAATAACCACATAATATAAAATATTAGACTTTTCCCGAGAGCAGAAATTAACAAGCTATTTGCAGAAATGAATTAAGTTAACAATATTAAAGGTATTCCGTCTCAAAACATTCGAGGTTCGCAAACAGCATGTTTATTAGAGAAATGCAAAAGAAACACGAAATCCCTCAGAGTATTTACTTTGATTATAGTAATTATCATCAGTTCGGAAAACTGAATGAACTTGTCTTTCATTATTTACATTTAAATATTAAAAGCACTCCGAAACGTACTCCGCTAGCGTTGTTTAAGCATTTGCATAGTAATAACCGTCTACGAATTTCCGAACCGACCGCCGTCGAAAGGATGTACCGAATTTAACCTGCAGCCATTGAATTTGCTCAGAGCATCGCGATATTAAAATGGCTTAGCTCGGCTTGAAGAACTAAGGAAGCCCTTTGAAAGATTCCGCGCGCGATACAAAATTGAAAGGATACCGATGGTTCTGAAAATGTATATTTTGTAATATATAATCTATTATATATATATCTGAATCTTCGTGTCTACAACCCGTGGGTGACTGTATTATTTACATCGGCCATGTGTCAGCGTATATAATGAGTATTAGACAAATGAGTAAGTAAACCGAGCGACGGTGACGCTGGCATATATGGGCGAAGCTAGTGTATGTAGCGCTCACTATATGGAGCTTCAGCTATAGAATTCTGATGCGCTAATGTCCGTGATTACACGAAGGAGCGCCAGCCGAAAACGGCCCGAAATAAAGGAGGCCCAATTGCGAAATGCACCAAGCCGCCCCGCGCCCCCCGCCCACGCCGCGACGTCATAATAAAAACTATTTCACAAAGGGGCAAACGAAATAAAACGGCAAAAAGACCGATCCTCATTCAAGTGGCGCTCTCATCAGGCCTTTGCATGCGGATATATTCGGAAGATGAATTACTTTTCAGGCGCGGAGTGTTCCCGCAAATGCGCCCATTCATGCGGTGCCCATTAGTGCATTGAAACTCCAAATTTGAAGAGTTACGCGGTGTACTAGTGAATTGGAAGATAGCCGGTTTTGTTATAGATTCCTCTTTTCATTGGATTTTTGGATAGCTGGACGGTTTTTTTTCCTTTGCGTTTCCGCGCGCTTCAAAGCCAGCGCGGAGGCCGTAGGAAGTGGTTTCCGTTTGTTCTTCGGGGCCAATCGGCCGATCCGTTTTAAAATAGTACGCTTTTTAACAAAAACTGAGTACTTTACTTTCAGAAATAGACGAGGCACATTTACCAAATACATCAATGAAACAGACAAATAAATCGACAGAGAAATCATAGTAAAATTGTGTGACGGAACAGTCGGATACATTTCAAAATGACGTAAATTTTTAGCTAAGGGAAACGAAAGTTCTGATCATGTACATACAAAGAGAATATATCTCACAATCACGTCATGTAAAATGACGGATTTAATGAGAAGAACAGTTTGTTTATCCCACCGCCGATAGAATTTAGGGTTTGTAACGGTAACCGTTTAGCCAAGATAACAACCTAAAACCTAGAACCTCCTCTATCGCTCCGCGCAATGCCGAGGAGAAAACTGGCCGGCGACAATCAGTAAATCAGACAATGAATGTAATAGCGGACAATCCATCGCTATGAGATCACATAGGATGCCACGGTGGGCGTAAATATTTCGGTCCACGAGGCGAGTAACCAGTTCAATTGACCACGTGCTGCATCACGGCACTCACATATCCGGAGATGTCGGCCAATTGAGCGGATCGATGACGTAGATTGATCGTTCGTTGGACCGATCAATATCGATTTAAATCGAATTGGCGGGGACGGTCGCATGTATATGTATTACTAACACTAAGGCAGCGATTCTGCCAACCCTGTTAGGGTTTCGCAATACACAACAAGAACCACTGTCATATTGATTCCTTATTGTTTTGAAGCAATCACTTAAAAGTTCAGATCAGCCCTGAGCTATAATAATCGTTTCCAATATCCCCTTTCGAAACGAACGTACGTCATAAACAGAGACAAGAAGGCGAATTATTAAAAACGCGGTAATCAAACAGAATCAAGAGCAGACATTACGGCGGTGTGTAACGTAACTCATTCGGTCGAGTGAAATATGTATTTACGTGTTGCGCCTAAGCGTCGGGATCGTAAACAGTGATATTTATTTAGTGCAAGGATTACCGGCCGTTCGGTGCCGATCAATCATTCCATTGAACGTATCCTGTTTCCCTTCGCTAGGGATGCGCCGGGTCGATCAGCTGACGATATACTTTATCGATAAGCGGATAGATGAGATCTATATCGATCTGAGAATGACGACTGTTTGAAAACTCCTTTTGAGTGTGTGGCGTGCTTGGCTTGATGTTCCAATGGGACCGGTTCTAAATTTCTAAATTTGCAAACAATACCCCATCAACAACCAGCGCTGTTGGGTGTCGATATCACACTAATGTTATAAATTCGTAAGTTTGTGTGGAGTTGATTTCCTTTTTAACGCAGCAAAGAAAGAACCGGTTTGAAAACGTTTTAATGAAGAGAGCTAAGAAGTTGGCCCGACGCATAGGATATTTTATATCATGAAATGTCATAATATTCCTTCACACAATGACGTATCGAAAGCGGTCGCGTCCCTAGACCTAGCCAACTGTCAAATCCAATTCAGCGATGCCCCCGCACATGTAATTGATTTATTGATCGTACGTTACATTCGATACGAGATGGCTTGCGCGGGCGCTGCGCCAGTTAACCGCAAGGCTATTGCATCCTTTAACTGTAATTCTCCGGCCAGTTAACCGGGTGACCTCAGTTACTCCTATGTGGGGCGATCGGGCGGGTGGATGGATTTGTTGCGATAGCACAAGTGTTCATATGCCAACCCTTCAGATGGAAATAATTCCAGTTGGAGGTAGCAAATGCTATTCGTTTTCTACTGTGGTGGTGTCTCGGAATGTGACAGGTGGTGGGAGAGCTGTTGATGTGGGATGATAACATGGGTGGGTTTTTTCAGTGATGACGTCTTTTAAAACTAAAGGGGATAAGTTAACTGGTGCTTCCATTTCACCACTGCATCTGTCGTTCACGATTTTAATATAAAGTTCATGATTTAATCGCAATTTAAGCAGTTTAGACAGAATTTGTTAGGAAGAAGTTTGCCATCATCTAGATCTTATGATGGACGCTCGTAAACTAACGCTCGTAAACTGAAATTGCAAGCGAGCCAACGTTCCCTGCTTAAATTTTTTGAGTACGCTTTAGAATAATATAGTAAAATTTTTACATAAAGTGGGTCCCATTACCTCTTTCTCTTTGGCCGCAAGTTCCATCTCCAGGTTGCTCCCCTGGTTCACAACCGGACTACTTCTCGTAGAGTTGCTATTGCTGCGTCCCGTAGCGGCCATCTCTATTTTGTGCTCTATATCCTCATCAATGTCTGGCGACCGTCTCTTTTCCTCTTTTGATGTCGGGGCTCAGTCTCTCCGGTATCCTGGTCTCTGTCGCCTGATCCCTCGTGGCCTCTATATGAGAGCCATTGGTCTTTGGGGGCACCGTGGCTTGGAGGGGCGTAGGGCTGGTCGTAGCGAGCTGCTCCTTGAGCGTCGTGACTTCCTTCTCCGCCAGGGTAGCTCTCTGTAACAAAAAAATATCGTCCATAAATAGAAGGTATAGCCCTCGAGGTATTTAATTAATCCATGATAAAATATGATGTGGTGATTGTAATTTAAAATTTTTAAATAGAGGGAGCGAAAGAGAGAGAGAAAAAGATTCTTATCGCGGAAGCATCGATACCGTCCACCTGACCGCGATTCCCAGTGCACGTTTTGTCTAATTGCCGGTTCCCATGATGTTTGTTTTTTGCGCGGTGACGTGCGCGCTCATTGTGCGCGTTTCCTGCGCCATTCAGTCGCCCTATCGGCGTGATCATCATTGGAAACGGATGCCCGATTGTTCCGCTGACCGGCCGATAGCACGGCGTTCGCCACTCGACGACGTCTGCCCGGCCCCGCTAATGATCCCCCCAGCTCCCATTATGCTGGCTGAGACGGATCGCCGATGCGCCCTATTTTGAATGCGCGCTGCATTTTTAATTGCGTCTTGCGATTTCTTTGTGTTAGACTCATTGTTCTGGTACATCGGGGGTCGTTAGCGGCGATCGCGCTGCACCCCCAACGTCATTCGGCGTAAATTAGACATTAGAAATGTTAGCGTTATTCCAGAACTGTTCCGGTGTACTGTAACTTGACATATGTAGCACGAATGAGTAAAAAACATAATTCCAAAGTGAATGTATGCTTTGAGTAATGTGCTTCCTAAATACGCAGCACGGCTTAAGATTAGCTGAGAGAGGAGTTAGCCAGTGTCCAATGGTATTGCTGTCAGCCCTCCATTCTCCTCCATAGGAGTTCGAATTAGGAGTCGAGGGCATTGGCCACACGAGGGAGGTTGCATATGCGCTGCCGGCATCGGTGAGGAATGGTGGAAAGTGAAGGAGCCGCACGCGCCCGTCGAGGCGGGCACGCGTGACGTGACGCCCCTCTGGTTAGATAAAATCGTCTCCGACGCCGTACGCTCACTCCGGGCCTAAGGCCGGCTACAGACGCGCCGCGGCCGCCTGGAGCGAAGATACAAATAAGGGTAAAGGGCAGATTGGTTTTAAATTCAATCGTATCTTTTGATGTCCAAGGTTTTAGTGATCAAATTTAAAGGGATTGAAAACCTTTAAATGCCTATATTCTATCCTAGCATTAGATCGAACTTTGGTAAGATTAGTTATATGGTCCGTACGGATAAATGGATTTTAACTTAAGAAGTTATCGAAGAGTGACTTCATTGAGCGTGTGAATTTATTGTGTGTACAAGTTATGATAAAATGATATTTCACCATCAGGAGGGATGTAGTTGAATAGCGTCAAATACGTGATAAAATTGCCAGTTACGCGTACACAAGGCCGATATGCAGTCGGCCTTACGGCATCATACGGCACGTATTCACATACGCACTCCACGCCGAGTTTCTCGATGAAATCACCGATTGCCGGATTAATAGCCTCGATCGCTGATAATTACCGCCTTATCTCGGCCGTTCGTTTGTCCGATTGTTTCCATGAAGCGCGCCGGGCAGATACAGCGATGCTTATTCGCGTAATTGGTTTCTATTGGCTCTTTTGGTTTACGGTGTAGCGGTTTCCTTACATCTGAAGAGTGCTCTACACTGGTGGCCTGTGCATGCGACAGGTTGACTTCAATTACATTCAGCACCTGGAAGGCTCGGTTCAATACAACGGGCCACCCGTTAAGGTCAGCAGAGAGTTCAAATCTAATGCCAGTTCGCAAATGTAGATTTGCTGAATTTCAGAACAATTGCTAGCCGGAAGTTGATTCTTCAAATGCATAAGATATGGCACAATTTCTTTTGCTACATACATTCTTCCCTTCTTTGAGAGGTATTCCGTCTACTGAAGTTATCTCGATATAACATGACATGGATGACGGCATCTATATAGGAAAAACTATTACTATTCTAAAATAATTCTTCACTTTCGTATTCGCAATGGAGCGCGATATATATATTCCTTTCAATAGCACTGACAACGGGCGGATGAATGACCAGGCGTACCAGACAGCCGGACAAACGGGCGTCGCTGCAGCGCATTAGTCTTCGTTCCGTCCACCCCGGACCTCGAATTGGCCGCCCACGCGCACCCGAAACCCGTAGGACGTCCCAGGAGCCGTCATCCGTGGATTACGCAACGAACTGTGCCATAGACTCAATTGGGCGTGATTGATCGCGTCGCGTTGTCTATGACTCAGCGGCCGTCACGAATTAGCCTCTAATAAACTCAATCACCTTGGCAACGCGCGTGCTATAAATAGACCACGCTGGGCAATGGCGAAGTTCGACAGCGAAAGCGGGGCTTCTGCTTCTTGTGTAGTATAGCGATATTTAGCATAAGTGAAACAGGAAACTTTTTTTAAAGGCTGGCAACGTATCTGCAAACCCTCAGGTGTTGTTGATAACCATGGGTGGCAGTAATCTCCTTCTCGTAAACAACCTTTCTCGCTTGCCAACTTTTCAGATAAAGCAGGAAAGAAGGAGGAATTGGTAGTAGACCAAAATGTTCATATCGGTTGAAAGATTTGAACATTATAGAATAGATATTAACTGGTGGAACTGGAATAATAACTGGTGGCGTCTGCTATTTGGCATGGAAACTCTTATTCGTAAAATTACCAGTCCTAACTTATTTTTGCATACTTATGATTTTTTGCCTTACGTATTGTATGATTTTCATTATCTTTTTTTTTACAACTAAAACGGGGTATTTAATCAAATAAATCTTCAAATAAATAAATAAAGATTGTGGAGAATTCGTAATCAAGATATTTTGTAATGTTTTCAAAGAACATAATTTCCTGTCCTTATGTAAACTTGATACGTCCGCTAAATAAATTAGCACCTGTGAATTAGAAATGCGGGGGGAAAGATAATGTCCACCATCTTTTCGAAATGTTTCATGGTCGGTTTCAGACAAGAGTGCGTCATTGGGCATTCGAATGTTGAGGAACGCTCGGTTCCGGTCGGGTGGCTTAATGTTTACAACTAGAAAGTTAGAGGGGCCATTGCACGAAAGCTCGAGCAATAATTAGGCGGTATCATTAAGAATTTAAAAATGTTGAACGCGGTTGCCATTCAATTAAAGACGGCGAAATCGGCCGAGCGACGCGGCCTGTGTGAATTGTTACGTTACGAATAATCTCGTATCGTTAGAAATAAAAACAGAAAACATTTCGGTTACGCTGGAAATTATTAGTGGAAATCTTTTTATAATTACCATCGCGACGGTCGAACCGAGCGCGCCCCGAATGGCGTTTAATGTGAGAAAGGAAGACAACAATGCGGTTAGAAAGTCCGAAAACTCGGATAACAATCGCTGCGACATTGATACTTTAATGTTTCGGAACGGACCTGTAAATAATCTACGAGCTGTTTGGGGCGAACGCAATTAAAAATAAAGCGCTTGTGATGAATGTGCCAACTAGATTTTCTAATTGACAGTTTACGATAGCAAGAAGATGATGACGTACTGGCCCGTGGCACGGAATGCTTCACGAGTCATAAATAAACCCATTGAGTTTTTTGATCAAATCGTTTAGATGAAACAGTACGCAGCGCTGGAACCAAAGAAACCGATTTAACAAACAAAACCAACCGGTTGTGAACAAATCAAAGCTGAAAACAAATCGAACTCGATTAGAGGCGGACAATGTCGATGTTGGCAACAATGGATTCGGAGCTTCGCTATTAATTTCTCTCCTTTCACCGTAATAATCGATAATTGTTTGATAAATCCGCCGAAAGACGGGGCCAACTTTAACTTTGTGAGTTTCCACCGAAATGCGCGACAATGGCGGGAAAATCGCGGGATATTTTGGACGGGGGCTCAGTGAACCACGGATGACTAAAGCCAGTGTGGCGTTTCGCAAAAAATGTATAACCTCTTTCGTCTCGTTGCGTTTTTCATTATCGTTACGGCTTTACGATACCGCTACGTCCGGATTGCGTTTGACTCAGAGGCACACGTCCACCCGTAGGTAGCCATTGGAACAGCGCAGACTGAGTAAATGGCTTTTAATTCGGATTCATTGAATCATTAACCATCTTTACCGCTATTGTAATTACCGCTCCCGTGAGAGCCTCCTAACATCAGCTTAATCTATTGCACAAACAAACTAGAATTTTGAATCCGATGGCTCCGATAGATAGCGATTCTTTGTTACATTTGTACGCAGCCAGTGAACGTGGAGCGTTTTTAATTGCTTAAAAGCGTTTCGGTCAGAGCTAATACGATTTTATTTATTATTCTTATTTAATGTAGCATTAGAATTGAGGCCTTCAAACGGGCGGAATATTAAAGAGATTAATCAGCAAAAATTAACGAAACAGATGATCTTTCCTTTGTGTTTGGATCAATTATTTTTTTGTTAAGATATATTACTTACATGCGTTAATAATAATTACTGCAATATTTCGGTATAATGAAATGTTTAAATACATGTTTGATTTTCGCTCAGTAAGCATCGTGAGTTTAACAAAGAAATGTTTTGTATTACAATAAAGAAACGTTAAATAGACAAAAATTGGCAACGGTTCACGGGCGTAAAGTTTATGAGTCAATGCAAATACGAGGACGTCTAATACGCTAAGGAATTTCCAGACTGTCTCACAATAGAGATAAGATTTAAACAATCTTGTGAAACAACACTGCCGATGTTGCAAATATTTCTATTAATCGCTTCATAAAGAACACACATTGGATAACAGGTTTAATTCGTTTAAATTTTTCAAAGGATGTGAAAACGTTTACTTTGGGACGGAAAAAGATACATTTTGGTGAGAGTTGGTTTCAGTATCTCTAAACGTTTATATCATGTCCCATTGCTGGGAAAAGGCCTCCTCTGTACAGAGGGTATCAGGGCATAGTCCACCATGCGGCCCCACTGCGGATTGGCGGACTTCACATATCTTTGAATTTTTTTTATTATTATTTCGAAAATATGCAGGTTTCCTCACGATGTTATCCTTCACCGCAGAGCACGTGATAATTCAGCACTTGAAATTAACAATTTCATTGGTGCCGGCACCAGGGATCGAACTCAGGTTCCTCGAGTATATTTAATTAAAGGCGAGCGCCCGGACACTGAGCTATCACGGCTCAAACGTTTCTATGTTAGTGTTCAATGTGAGCCTAGATGTATCTAAACGTACTTGGTTGCATTTTCATAAAGCATGCTACTTTAGATAAAAACCCTACTTCGTTTCCATTGTTCTAGACATAAAACTATTCACATCAACAAAGGCATGAGGTGTTCATCCACAACAGTTAATTTACAAACTTCTCATCTCTGTCTGTTTTTTTTTTTAAAATGATATTGATACATATAAGTGATGGACGCAAGACATAAGAAGAAGAGTAGAGTAGAGTAGAAGAGTAGAGTGGAAACGTTTACGCGTGGCTTGGTATCTGAAACCAAGTGCTCTCACCAAAATTTCCATTATCGTTCCAGAGCCTTCTATTGGGCATCTAGTGAGGGCTGTTAGGCCAAATCTCATCTCCATGCATCGCATTAATTGGCCGTTCCGCGCGCGCTTAATTATGATTAATTATTTTTTTGGACGATACGATTACCGAGATTATATGGTAACGGTGGATTTGTCCGGCCAGTGCATGCATCGTCGACATTCATAAACACCGTTTTGCAGATCACGAAGACGAATGAATTCATTCGATTAGCCAACTAAGTAACAACTTGTAACCCATTGCCAAGCAAAGGTTTTCGTGTAATGCTAAGGGTCTAGGTCGTTTGCTAAGGCCCATAAAAGCCTTTTATGGACCTTATGAAGACTGGTATTCCTCTTACGATGAGATATCTACCTCTCTTCATAAGCGGATATCTTCACTTATGCTCGGTAATTAACGCCTAAAAATGGTTCCAGTAACGGGATTTCCTTTCTCATTATATTATAAAGACCACCGCCTCACTAATCAACAATAATTTTTAGTACACGATCACAACTATTGTCTAAATTTAACTCGACTCAACGTCGCCGCAACAGTTCGCGTAATTTCGACTCTCCGCCTTAATTTCGCGATTGATATCGTGTATCCTGTGTAGGGGTATAAGCAACACACGGGCAACCGTAGGATTTCGTCTCGGTGCGACCGAGAAAAATTAACGAGCGACCGGCGAGGTCGGCGCCCGCATCACACGGGCAGCGGTCACTAATTAATGGAAAAGGATTAAATTCGTGCGGAATCGGAATAGAATAAATATGATAAGGGACGCCCCTCCTTGGGGCTTCGGGTGGTTTTTTCCCCGTGCGCCGAAACGTCGGGGCACGTTAATTAAATTCGCTCCTCTTCGCTACTCCAAGTAGCCCTTTCGAATGCGGTTTTTCCCCGATGACCAATGTGCCAACGCCCGTTTTGACATATGTCTCTTCCTAGTTCCGCGCGGCTTTCGTTTCGTTCGTTAATTGTAATTGATTAAAAATTTAAAGCATATTACGTAGAGATGGAGTGACGACCTGCGCAAGTGTGCGGGAAGTCGATGGATGCAGGTGGCTCAGGATCGTACTTCGTGGCAGTCTGTGGGGGAGGTCTATTCAGTGGACTCAAACAAGCTGAAATGATGATGGTGAAGTATAGATGTGTTGGATTTGAATAGCATATTTTCAGTTCAATTAACTGTCATTATATTATAATATATTATAATTGTGTCGGCTAAAATACTAACACACAGACATTTAGAATATTTTGTTGTTCCCGGTTTTTAGTCAATTTGAGTGTAAAACCTTTTTTCAATAACGTTTTATGTAATGGTTAAAATCACTTTATTTAAACTCTTGAGACAGTAGGGAATAAATAAAAAAAAATCAATTGAAACAGTAAATAGTGTATGAAAACGATTAAACTAGCTTCTTTAACGGATAACGATATTTTCCCTTCAAGAGATTTATTTAGAGGCTAATAATTTCCTTTATAGAGGGAAGCTCCAAGCGGGCTATTTTGTGGGCACGAGATGATTTTTATACAAATAAAGGTATTAGTACAGAATCGGGTATCGGGCTTAAGGGATTGATTCCGGTCTACTGGGCGGCGTGCATTGTTTAGAACGAACAGAAAGGGGCGACGTCGTATAGGTGAGTCGAGAGCTGGCGGTCTTTAGTATTTAAGAACACAGTTGTTCCCGTATTATCTTACTAAACAACCGGCCAAGCGCGAGTCAAACAAAGAGCAAAAAAATCATATCCGTTTTATGGGTGCCCTACTTAAATTTTAATTTTATTCTGTTTTTTTAACATTTGTTGTTATAGCGGCAACAGACATACATCATCTTTGAAAATTTCAACGGTTTAACTATCACGGTTCATGAGATACAGCCTAATGACAGGCGGACAGACAGAAAGACAGACAGCGATAGGGTCCCCTTTTACCCTTTGATTATGCCTACTTTGATACCCTAAAAACGCTGTCAATTTGGACTATCTAAAATTTTTGCAATAACTCGTTAGACAGGGTTGCTTTCGAAAGTACTGATGAATAGATAGTTACAGGTGACAAGTATGTTGTAAATATTATCAACGATTTTTTACGGAGAACTGGCATATACAACCAAGCATTCTCATTAAATTGAAAAAAAAAAAAAAAAAAAAAAACTGGCATAACATAATCATTCGTAAAAAAAAGTTAAATTAAAAAATGAAAAAAGGCAAAATTCTTGTCTACGGCTTCGTAGCGCGTGGGGGTTTTTCGCAAAGTTTATTTACCTATATTGTCCCTCGTCTGGGCTCACCCTCCACGGACCGGTCTCACCGCTGTATCGTCTCCCGTGTTTCCAGATTTATTCCTGTTATTTGATTACAATTAAGACTCTTGTGGACAAAGGCCTTTGAGCGGGCTCGATTGTCGTAAGTCTATTTATGAGGTAGCCGGCTTTAAAAATCCTCGACTCCACAAAGTGAGTAATTTAAGGCGCGATCGATGCGATCCTGTGACAGATCAAATTCAGCCTCTTTAATCTTATCGCCATTAATCCAAGGCGATTGTTTTACATACCAATTAATGTACGAAATTCAAAATTATATCACCATATTTTCATAAGATTTATTATACTAGCAAAATAAGGAAATAATACTACACGTTTTTGAATAATTCGGCACCATGTTGACATTTTAATCGATTTCCCTAAACGAGTCCTGCAAAGAGGCGTACCTTACAAAGGAGTCGTTTTTCCATAAGCAATTCGCGAGCAGCTCATAGATGGGAGCGGCTCCTAATCAAATTACGAGCAATTTTGGCGTTATTAAAAAAAGTGTGTTTGTCTATCCCCGTAGTCGATACCCGCACTCAAGGTACGGAGCTCTTAATCTCTCAATGTCAGTTTTAATTTGCCGCCGGCGTCGAATTACCTTCCGGCAGTTTTATTTTCGAAGCCCGGAGACGGGGCAAAGGAGACGCGCTTCGACGGCCCAGCGGGAGGAAAATCGCTCTGCGCCGCATTTCGAAAATCGAACGCTGTCGTCGAGATACCTTCGAAAACTACTAAATACAATGATCTACATAGTATAAGGCAACGTAGTCCAGCTGTCTGTCTGTCGGTATGTGTGCTTAGAGCTTTAAAACTACGCAACGGATCTTGATGTGTTTTTTTTTACTAGATAAAGTGATTCAAGAGGAAGGTTTATATGTATAATACATTACACCCGTGCGAAGCCGGGGCGGGTCGCTAATATTATATAAAAACACGAGCAAGATATGACACTAGCGAACCGAAACCGGGGCACGCTAATTACACCCATTGGTGTAATTAGATTGCAATTCTAGATAGACTGCTATCTCTTTTCTTATGTACCTATGTTTTACATCATCTGTCACATTGACTCACATATGTCATATAATGTAAAGCGGAACAGTTTTTAAATATTTAATTTAAAAATTAAACTGCGGTAGGGCCACGCAACAGTGTTCGCTGTTGCACGAATGGGCAGGTCCGTCCGGGTTAGTACCACGACCTCACAAGAGACCGGCGTAAAGTAGAAGTGTTGCACTTCTACGTTTCGTCTGGTGACTGAGGTAGCCGGAGCCCACTTTGTTGAAAGGTGGCAACGCATCTGACCACGGGTGTTGCAAATGTCCATGGTTTTTTTCTTCTTTTAAGTTAAAACATTTCCCTCACTTTAGGATAACATTATCCTATGCTGTAAGGACGTTTTACAAACATAAATTTCACGCAGACAAACACTCAGATGCGAAACATTTTGTAGGTCACAAAAATAGTTGTCCCGTGTGGGAATCAAACCAATGACCCTACGCCGAAGCCTACCTTGGCAACTGCGCCACGGAGTCATCACTTAACGACCATCACCAACTCGAGTGCCACTTTTTCACATAAAAAAAAACGCCACGCAGTATGGACATGCGTCATCTATACTATAAAACTAAATAGCGTCTATGTGTATGATCTGTAATTAGAAAGGAAACAATACAGATTGATTTTTCTCATTAGAAAAAAAAAGGAACTTTAAATATTCGTGCTCGGACCTGCCGTGACCGTGTCGACAAATTAGCGCCGTGTTGTTGTAAGCGCTAATTACCAACGCGTCCATATCATCGACGTGGGCGCTGCAATGGGCGGCTTCACGGCCGTCGCAGCCGCGGCATCTAAGTTCCGCGGCGCGCAAACTCGGCCGACCGCACGGTCGTCAGGTGCGGAACACAAAACCCTTAACGACCCAATCGGCGAACTAAACAACTCGATTCGGCCACAATAGGCGACCGCGAGCCGACTCGAGCGGCCGATCCCAAAACTTCCATCGGCTACAGACAGGAGACAGGTATCGGGGTGGCGTTCTAATCATTATTAGATATTGAATTTTCCCAACTTTGGACTCATCCAGTTTCTAATTTACTAATGAATCCGAGTGCTGCCATTAGCCCCCCTGCCACCCCGGGTGGGCGGTAAGGGGTTGAGGGTGCGCGGGAATTTTCGTCTTTTATACGTGTAGAACGATAATCCGATTGGTGATCCGGGCTCCACATTCGGGCCGCTCGTACTCGGCGAGTCTCGTTCAACGGTTACACTCCCTCGGCTCGTTTGTTCATTGCCAGCTTCTTGGGCTTGTTGATCGACACTTCGTACTCGCAGCCATCGGGATCAATTGTTCCTTTTGTTTTGCAGTGAATAAGTGACGTCACGCAATCGGCTACGAAAGTTCAATAGTGCTTTATCTCGATAAAATTATACACGATTTAAAAGTGATAACAACGAGAGAGATATTTTCATTGTTGTATTAGATTTGAGGATATGACGATTATCATTTTCGTTTCGAGATGATGTGCGTAATAATATTACCCATTATTCATTAAAGGTCACTGCTCTCAGTCCACGCTCGCCGTTGGCGTTGGAACGGGGTATAATTCTAACAAAGGAGTATCGGAAACAACGCCTACCATACGTCGTAGTGCATTAACAAGCAAATATTGAGTTAGAGAAGTCCGCCCGCGCGGTCCGGGCTCAATAAAACCGAATGGAGTTCGCACCTGACGCCGCCAATGTGTAGACGTAGAGAGGACAGGTTACAATAAAAGCCTAATTAAGCTCGCCCTCCTAGAGACAGTCGCAAACGATTTATTACACTTCTAGCCGAGTGCCGAAACTGCACTAACGACTTTCTTAGTTCTCACCTAGTTTATAGCCGTGTTGTAATTTTATAAGATAGATTTAATTTTCAAAGTACTGTTGTTTTAAGTGAATAATATATTGATATAATTTTATTTGAGGCTTAATCTGCCAATTTTAGATTTTGAATGAAAATGAATGGCATTGGCAAAATGGAAAGCTCTTTGGGTCGAATTTGAATTATATATTGATTGACGCTTTATTACCTTTACGGTGTATTCGCAGCCAAACGTAATAACGTTTTTTTTATGGAAAAAGAGGAAAATTAGCAAGCGGCTCAAATAATGGTAAGTGACCACCACCGCTCACCAATGGACACTTGCAACATGTACGAAATCACTACCGTGTTGCCGGGGTAGGAGTAGGCTCTCTACTTGAAGGCCGCTAAGTAAGTGTAATAGGGGATTTTGAGTGTCGCGTCTGTGCATCGATGTCTAATCTGTGGCACGTATGGGCGGGAGGAGTTCAGGAATCGGCCGGATTGCCGCGGTGACGCAGTCGCGGGACATTTATTTGCTTGTTATAACGAACTTTGTTCCGGCGCGCTTTGTGCCACCGAAAATTTCCACTTCGCACCGCGCCCCCCTCATTGGTTACCTCTAAGCTTGTTACCAAATTATAGACACGTCACGTATAGCGCAGACGGTTCGAGTTTTGTTTTTAATCGTGACTGAAAGTTTTCTTTATCTATAATTGAATGTGCCCGTAACAAGGCTTTATACAATTGTAATAAGCTTACGTTAGGCATTCATTCATAAGGGGGAGGGGAGTAAAATGGACCAGCATCGTGCTTGAGTAAAACATATATGACACAAGGTCGCTCTCGTGAAACGTATAAGAAAGCTAAGGTCAAACTTGAAATGCGTCGAATGCATAATGGTGTTTCCAGGCATGTTGTGCGTTAAGCTCACAGTAATTTAAAGACACGAGCATCGTCAAGGACCGTGTACGTGCACCCAGACAACGGTACTGGAAACAATGCGCGCGAAGACCGATAAGCATCTAAATTGGACGATTTAAATATTGCCCCGGCGCGATCTTGTGCGTAATCATAGCCCGGCCACTCTCCGAACAGGTGAGAGATCGCGAACGGGAGCAGTTCAAGCGACAACCGCCTCTGTTCCCAACCGAATAGCGGCCGTTTGCGCGTGCAATAGGATCGCGAGCTTGATCTGGGCCCTTAATCTTCTGTCTATTGCAAACTTTTGATGTTCGGATCGCGATAGGGGCGGACCGATTTGTTATTTTAATCGATAGCGTAGCGTTGCCAGCGTTGCACCACGCATGTGTCGCAGTCCGCTGGCATCGACACCGTAGCTATTAAGCTTCGGTGTTTAATTAAAGCGCCTCGGTCTGCATTAATAAGACTAAACCAACGCGCCGACAGACGATGGATGCGGTCAAATGTCGGCCGCCACGATGGTTCGCTGAATGAGCCCACCGCGCTCATTGAGTCGCCAGCGCACGCGTCGACATTTTCCCGCGCGATTTCTTGGAGCGCCGCCATCTTTGTCCCGCGCCTCGTATTGGCGCGAATGTCAAGGCGCGACTGTCGTCTATGACAGTTCGAACCGTTGTTGTTTTTTTTAATTAATGCAAATGTCATTTCGACGTTCGGCACGCGATGTCCGAAGTTGGTTGGCCTCTTGTATGAGGAATTGTACTTGCAACGGTCGTAGAAAGCTTTCGCGGGGATCGTTTGAACTACACGAATAGAATCGTTAAAGAGCGAAGCAGAGATGGGAATTTCGAGGTTGATCGCTTTGTGATTATTAGAGAACAGTTGTCGGAACAGTACAGATAAACAGATAAAAGTTTAAAAGTCTTGAAAGCTTCGACGGGAGTTTGAAAATGCTTCACACGTTCAGCCAACTTTCCGACTTCAACGGAAAGGAGTCGCTAAGGAGCGGGCTGATTAAAAGGCACCATCCGATATAGATAACCAATTAGGCGCAATTATAAATTAACGAGATCCGAAAGTCGGGCGCTGCAAACAGCCGGAGCGGGCGAGTTTGCCAGAAAACTTGGGGCGAAGTTGCGACAAAGTTCGACGGGAACCGATGAGCTACAAATAGGCATCGGAATTGAGTTGCTCACGGTGTCCGCCTTTTAATTTATCACTCGCGCCCCCGAGGTGGGGAGGTATTGACTGCGCGATGGCAGATCTTACAGTTTAGTGGTAAGACCTCACTTTATATGCGTTGCGTTATAAACGTGCAATGCAAATGTCCGACCAGACGTGGGTCCGTTACGCGTTCGGCAAATTCGGATGCACTTTGAAATGTTAACCGGAACAAAGCGATGTTCTGGTGTTGTTAGTCAGTCTCGGCTGGTGAAGTTGATAAAGTGTCTTTAGAATGCAATAAAAACACAGTCCATCAAATTTTTGCAAACTTAGTCGTGCTACGAAATCGACTTGAGGTTTTTCTCTGAAGAAATATTACTCCTTTTAGGTTTTTTCAATTTTATAACCTAATCTCTGTGTACATCCGCGTTACAACTTTGATTGACAAATAATTTTTAGTAAGTCTATATATAGATGAAACTGTCGCAACATATTTCTCCGCTGCCACGATGCGAACCGGATTATGCTTCCAAACGCTCTAGCCATTAAGCTATGCGGTCTCTTTAGTGCCTAGATAGTCTTCTAGACTATGTAGAATTTCTTTTCGATAGTTATACAAATTAAATTTTGACTTAGGTAGGTCAAGTACACGTATTTGAAACGGTCGCAGACAGCAAAAAAAACCGGCAAATCGACTTCAAAGTCGCATCACTAGAGCGACACGTCGGTACGGAATCGTTAATTAAGCACATCACTAGAGCGGTTCAAAGCGCGCCCGCGTCATCGATTCGCACCTCATTTGGTACGCAATCTTCGCCTAATTGGTATCGCGTTCTTGCGTTTGCCACCGCGCACCGAAATAGACCGCTCGCGCGGTCTTATTGTTTCGCGTGTTCGTTTGCCGCCTCACATTCGATAAGTTTCGTCTTTATAGCACTCGACGATTAGCGAAACGTGTGTTTGATGCCTTATTTTAGAAGGACATAAGCGCTTTTTATGGGTTTTAACGCCGTGTTTGATTTCCGATTTATTTATATGCAATATGTCATTCAGATTAGTCGGCAGTTTGCTGAGATAATTATAAAATATAATTGCTCCCTTATTTATAAGAAGTTACGTTGAGTAAATCTCGTTGTAAATCGTAAAAAGTGTGAATGTACCCTCATTAATACCAAGTCTTTTCGTAACGTATTGCCGGGATATAACATGGATGTAAGATTATTACCTAGATATATAAGTTTTTTTTTTCTTGAATTTGATTGGAATAGTTAAGTCAAAAAAGCGGTACCTACATTATGAATGTACAACACCGCATAATTTTACATTTAATTTAACGTATTCACAGCTTAATTACTATATTAATATGCAAAAATGGTGATAAAATAATTTTACTCCTACATTATTATAATTATTTTGGCACAACCACATACGGCTATATGTGATCGTTTCAAAAGCATCTGATCCTCTCGTACTGTATTAATATACTCCATCCAAGATGAGAATTTGATTGCATCAATGAAATATCTATGTAGCTACATTATCAATTCTGAATTAATATACTTTGTCATCTGCTAAGTGTTCTGCAGAAACTTCCAGGAGTTCGAGGTCGCGAATTGAGCATTTATCAAAATCCATCCTCAATTAATTCTATTTCGCCTGAATCCCCCCAACTTCACTTTTAATCCCATCGATCCCTATTAATACCCCTTGCCCTCTTCTTGGGCGAAACAACAAAATGCTTATAATTGCATCTTAGTATATTGATCGAGTTTAGGGAGTTTCACTTTTAAGACAATTAACGTTCAATCTTCACTTGGCCGGGTGTCGAATTTTGACGGGCGCTTCAGCTTTGTCGTATTTACTTACGTAGCAAGACTTTATTTTATTCATAAGGAGTATCGGATTTATCAAACGGCTTGGGTTTGCTTATTACGTTATATGCTTCGGTATGCGTCTACATTGGAAAGGCGTAAGACAACAAAAATCCTCGGTCGCAATGAGACCAAACAGTTTTCTACTCTGTGATATAATACTTTTGGTCACGTAGAAAAAAACAACATCATTTGGAATAATCACAACACTGGCAATAAAGTAATATTCTTCGCGCAACTGCTCCGTCGTTTACGAAGTGAATTTGACAACCCGAATGGCGTAGTGGTGCACCTGTCTCCTACGCCAGAGGGTGTGAGCCCCAATACTGTAAAAATATTGCGTGTCGACCATACATACATACAAAAGCAAACTCAAACTATGTTAAAGTATTTTTATCAAATACCTAGTATCGATAGTGTTAGCTTTGCTTAGTTTGGAACTAGATAACGTCGCGTTGAAATATGCATCGCAATGTTTAAAGTCATCCTCAAAACATCCCATCCAATCGGGCTTGTTAAATGCTAAAAGCCAAAACTGAAGCACTTACGCTCGTCTGATCTGCGAATGCCTCAAAATGTTTCTATCGAATCGTTGAAGCGAGGCACCATGTTACAAAACAAGCGACGCGCGCGGTTCGAAAACACGAGCGCCCCCTTCGTTCGCGTTTTGGCGAAAGCCCCAACAGACGGGGCCGCGGCCGATTTCAAGGTAAGTTCGAAAAAGTTCGAAAAAGTTCGAAAAACGCTACAAGTGTCGCGGGCGGGCGGTTCCGTTCGAAACCCTCCAACTTTTCGGCGGCTGACTTCCGTTTCATCGTGAGCCCGATGTGCTTTACCCCCGCCAGGTCATCGGAGGGGGCGAAGCTGACATATCCGTCCCGACCCGGATAAATCAATTCGGCCCCGTGCCGAGAGCGGCCGAAGACCGCGCGGAAAAACTTCTAACGAATGTCGCCCCGGCCCCTTTTAATCAATTAATTACTTAATTCGTACGTATTATGCGATCCCGTTGCGCCGGACGGGTTGAGGACACCATACATAACTCCCTAACGGTATATGTACTGCCGATTTTAATGAGCTCGGATGATCTCAATTGTATAGTCTTATTGGTAATCTTGCGAGGAAAATACCAGTGAAAAGATGTTTTAATCGTTTATTCACAAGTGAGTCTCTACCGTGGCTTTGATCTATTTATGGGATAACTATCTGTTACTGACAATGGACTTTATATAGCTTTTCATGCTTCTAGGCCTATTTTAAGTTTTGGGAGCTTAGTGTCGAGTGTCCCATTTACTAAGTATCTTATTAGATTCTTGAATGTGAATCATGCCTAATCTCAATAAACGAGACATTTCAAATAGAAATTTACTTATTATTTAACAAATTGCCAATAAACCAAATGCAATTTCAATTAAGGTTTCGTGATATTTTGTCGGAAAATCAACAAGACCTTGTCGGAAAGGCCACGCTCCAAAGGCATAGGGGTCCAAAAAACGCATCGCGAGCGCGAAGAGTTTCCTTCGTAGTAATTAATATCCATGTTTAGCCTTTGAGAGGCGACGCCTTTTTACTCGTGGACGCTATCGCGCAGACATCGCCGACCTTTTTTGCGCACCGTACAAAGAGTGCCCGAGAGCGCGTACATAAAAACCCCTTTAACTTATGATGAATTAGCGATCTCCTACGCTTTATGTCTCCCGCGTTATCTCACCCCCCCCCCCCCCCCTCGGCCCGACGGTCACCCCCCAAACACCCCGGAGGCGAATTTAGCGCACGTCAATATGAAGGAATTAATGCGGACGAAAAATGTAGGTACTCGAGCATCTCTGCGCTCCGGGTAACTTTTCCATATGTACGTATTAACTAATTAAAGAAAACAATAATAGTATTAATATTTAATCGTGTATATAAACAATATCGAAAATACAGCTGTTTGTGTGGATGTTTGATTACAGACTATTTGTTTCAAACTTGACGCGAAAAGTTTGATGTGTCGCCCACACTTTTATCCTTCTTTTGTCTCCTAAGCGTATGGGATAGTAATGGTTTGTGTGTGATTTTATATATTTGTCCGAGGCATTGCCAAGCAGACGATGATGACAAGTGATAAGCATCATTACAATCTTCGTGCAGCGCTTACTTCTGCCCAAATTGCGTGGCAGGTCGTGTGTCGGCCATTAGAGTACCTGTCTCGGTTGATCCTTTCTCCGCAGCACTTTGACCCTCACCGGCGGATAGGAGATGTTTTGATATCAATCCCCCTGCCCAGGTCCATTTACGCCGCGCGGCTTCCATAGAAAAACATTGACGTAAAAAGTGGGCCGAAAATTGGGGTGTGAAGTCGATGGGTGTGTGGTGGTGGGGGGTGGGTCAGATTCGGAAAAGGTTGGCAACCGCTGTCGAAGTGACCGCTGAGTAGGGTCCGCATTATGTGGATAACGTCGTTATGTGTTGATCAATTTTAATTCGCGCGGTGTACGGTCAGCAGGTCTTCTTTTAATATTTCACAAGTGCCGATAATGTGGCGATGCCGGATGCGGGTTTTCCCCGCCAATTTTTTTTTTAATTAGGGACGCGAAATATGCACGAATCGTGCCGAATTAGACATGCGATGGTTCGCGAAAACGTACTCCTATCAGTATCCCCAAATAATTTCAACGTTTTTATTATAGGTACTAGAGCTGTTTAGTGAAAATAATGCATTTAGGCTCAGTGAGCTCAGTCTTTTCGTGGGTTACAGATGCGTTGACAACCTTTTGAAAATTGGGCTCCGGCTATCTCACTCACCAGACGAAACACGAAAGTATTTGACATACTTCCAATTTACGCTGGTCTTTCGAAGGTCGTGGTTCTTACCCGGACGGGCCTGCCTATTCGTGCAACAGCCGAGGCTGCTGCGTGGCACTACCACCGTGAAAACTGTCTGATCAACTTTTTAATATAAAATTTACTGTAGGTACAGGTCACATTTTAAATTAATGTAATTTTTATTCTAACACAAAAATTGACGCAGACCTCTATTTGACCTATTCAATCCTATTAGCAAAAGAAAAACGAAATATCTAACTAACGAAAATGTGACGGAAGCGGGAAAAGACTTAGTTATGAAAACACGCGCACAAATTCTTCATCTAGGGTATTTTGACTAATGTTTTGTATTTGATTTTCTACATTATTAACAAAAATACCTGATTTTCGACATGCCTTAACGCACCAACTTAGGTAAAGTTCTATCCACTTTATTGGGCATGAACGTACCATAAAATGCCATTCTCTTGCTAAACGTATTACGAAACGAGGACATTAGACGAGAACTCGCTAGTCGACCAGCCCAGGATGGCCTCCTTGAGGCAATAAGCAAACAAGGTCCGAAGCGGCGGGCATAGGTGCGAAAATGTGGTGCCCCAAAGGAGACGCCCGTATGGGGTCCCGGGCAAAAGAAAAACACCCGTCTTTCCCCGTGTCGCTAATTTGTGCCTCTCTTAATTACTGGGAGGCGGCCGCGGAGCGAAGAAACGCCGGATGCGGCTTCTGCTGTTTGCTAAATTACGCTTTATCTTTTAATTCTTTTTTTTATTTGAGAATGTGGCGAGCGAACTGGCGGTTCACCTGATGTTAAGTGATAACGAATTTATGCGATAATATTTATTGTTTCGCTATAAGCACACTGATTGTGCTATAAAAATCATTTTCACCAAAGAGATTACCACAACTTGCTGGTTGCTTATAACGAACAGAAAAGTGGTAGATTAACGATATTGAAATCACTTTATTAAATAAAAATAAGGATATTTCAACTTATCGCTTAACTATGACTCTATTCCGTTTAACGTTTATTTGATAACTAACCCAAGATCAAAATAATTCATCCAAATAAATGGTTAAAGAAATTATGTGTTGTTATGTTTAAAATGAGTACAATTTTTTTCATTCAAAGAGAATAGATATAGAGTTATATAACTATATTATATTAAACAAAGTTAATAATATTGAAATATAGACACAAATTACTTTGACAAATGCCATAAAATTCATTATCTTATTATGTATGGGTAAATATTGAAATTACGAAAAATACATTTATATATTTGCTATAGTAAAATAACATAATTTTGGGTATAAAATATTAATACTTGCTATATCTGTCTACATACCTTTCACCTTTTAAGTTATAATACAAATTGCGAGTGAGCACAAAATGCCGCCTCCATTTAATTTTCATTCCTAAGCATTGTTCGCCATCTTCTCTATTATAGATTCTCTTTTCATTAGCAACAGAATTCGTTCCCGAGATGTGAACGGGGTTAAAACGTTTGTACACACGGCCACGGGGCTCATTATCAACTGCTACGCGCGTCTGTTGATACGATGAAGAGCACAACTTGCGTCGGCTACTGTAAACACCTCAGCATTTGTGACGAGCGCGATATTTACTTGAAACTTAATGAGTTAATTAAGTTTCGTAAGTGAAAACAACTCTTAAATTAACGCACGTGCCTCCGATAATCTTACCTCCATATAGTAACTGCTGATTTTCATAATTTCATTTCAAATCGAACGTCACTTGAGTTTCTGTGCACTATTGAACATTCTCACGAATTAAAATAAAAATATAAAAATATTACAATGTAAAAAAAGTCCTTCTGGTGTTTACATAGCTATATGAAAAACAATATAGGTTTACAATTGTACATTAACAGCCATTCCACTAGACACAGCCTAACCTATAGGGTAAGTTAATGATTTCCACGATTTAGTAGCAGCGGGCAGCAGTGAACATAATATTAACAAAATTGTTACAGTATTATTTAGGAAAACACTTTGCACTGATGGGAATCAAATTATTATTGAATTAAATATCAATTTAGGTCGCATGAAAAAAATAGAATTTCGCGGGTTCGAAATTTGAAACGTAAAAGTGAAAAAAAAAAAAAAAAAAAAATAGAAAAGCAAATGTCGTATTTGTACTATTCCAGCTCTAAATCTGAATGTGTCACAAAAAAAAAAAAACAAAAGCCGCGATCGAATAGTCTCCGTCCCGCCGCGGTTCGAAATTCGAAAATCGAACGGCCGAAACGCGGGGCCCGGTACGCGCGTGCGCCGCTGACGTGACGCACCAAAAGCGCGCGAGCGACTGGCGCGCGCGATAAACCCGGGCGCGTTATCTGGCCGCATTTGCATACGGCGCGTTTCCCATAGCTCCTTGCGCATCTGCACGGCCGAAGGAGTTATGCAAATGCATCGGCGATATTCAAAAATCGAAATCGGAGCTATCAATCGGCGGAACAGGTTCCCGACCTTTGTGACGCGTTTGAATGGCGAGATAGACTTAGGGTTACGCGCGGACAGATGTCGGCCGGCATTGATACAGAAGCCGTTGTCGGGAAATGGGTTATTTATAGCGTGCATCTCATTCAGGGTGCGTTTATTCTTAAGCTCCTTACGATTGTGCCGGTAAAGGGCGCATAAAGACGCGAAATACGTTTTTGTTGTGATTTGCAATATAGATGCTCTGAAAGACTATTATAATTCAATTTGCCAAGGAATCTTTGCGAACTCTCGAGGTCTGGCGTAAATGTCTGTAAATGTACAGATCAATTTATGATTAAAAAGAGGTTTTAAGTATTTTTCAGCGACAATATATTAACACAATTTGTTTGACGAAAACATAGTATTAGCCAATCCTTGTTTTAGTTGTCAAAGCAATCGATTCGGAACCGGAAAAGCCTCCCATTCGCTTATCGTAGCTTCGAAAAATACGACGAATTTATAACATTTAACAGATAATTAGCTACCCATATTAATTTCAAATATTGCACAAACAAAGTAAATTTTTTCATGCTATATTTATTTGGATAAGCTAAAAATTATATCTATTTTGCATATTAAAGTCAAAGCTGTACTTGTTTTAATTCATTATTTTAAGTATTCAATATCGATCTTTGGATTTCCAAGTTATTTATTTGCCCTGGATGTGTAAGTA